GGTGGGTGGTGATGACTAGCTGTCTTCCCTCTAGTCTTACACTGCTAAATTAGGGACGGCTAGAGCAGATAACCCTCGTGTAGCTTTGCGCGAAATTCAGAAACAAAAACAAACAAATTTATAAGAAGAAATAAGTTACGTAATAAAACACCTGACATCGCAAAACAATACGTTCTGGGAAATATATATACCGTTTAGACTCTCGTTTACATGACTGTTTTCTTTATTGAATTTTGTCCTTTTTTCAGTATTATGTTGTTAAAAATTAGGCATCAGATATGCCAGCAAATCTATGGGCTTCTCTGCCTACAGAAACTGGCCAAGTAACGGAATCATCATGAATATTGTTCTTTTAGTATTGTTATTTCTTCACTTAAATATGAATTTTGTAAAAGAGATAGTGAAAACATAGATCAGTGTAATTAGACTTTAACTGGTAATTAACCGTGAGACGAGTAAGAATCATATTCTTAAATATTGGATATGATTTAAATGTACAACTGATTTTTTTTATAGGAAGAGGAACGAAAAACAATTTCCTTTTTCATCATTTTGTTTTATAAAACCCGCAACCCATGCTTATTAACTAAATATATGTATGATACGCTTTTCCAAGCCCACGTACACTGTTATCTTCTAACGTACTGACTTCAGGACGAAGCTGATTTTCACTAAGCTCTTGACCAGAGCGCACAGCACTCCCCTGAGACATTACATCCAAAGGGAAATTAGTTTTCAATTAACTCGACCGGATGACAGAAAATATAAGATACTTCTAAAATCCCCCAGTTTACATAGTTTTGTAGTTCATTATCCGTGGTATACAAGACGCTGTACCTTTGGAAATGTATTACAGGAACTTTTTTTACTAGGATATTTTGGTAAATATTTCTGTTGAATATATTAAAAACTTAAACAAAAATAATAATTCTGAGATGACTAAATTGTAAAATTGTCCATAAACATGCACGTGTACATTGATACATTTATATATATATATATACATCCAGTTTACAATCACGAAGTGACTTACCAGATAAAAAAGAATTATTAGCTGGATTATTTTTGCTTTTGGAGAAGATCACAAACTGTATCTTTGTAAACTTTGTTTTTAAATTTAAAAAAAAAGATTACATTTTAATAAATTTATCAAAGTGTATTGCTTACATAGTTGGAGATATAATTAATAATTTCGTCTAAAAGACATCTTGATATAAATATCGGTTACTATTTTTTACTTGTACTCTTTTCAAACGTTCCCGTGTACTTGATGCAACATTTTTTTTTAATTATATAAAGAGCCGGTGCCCTATGAAGTGGAACAGCTAAGAAACAACAAATTATTCACAACCTCTAGTTCTATCATTCTTCATACTAAACTAGAAGACAACGACGCCACCTATACTTGTGAAGCTATTCATCCTACGTTAAGAAATTCGCTAATAGCTACTGTTAGAATTAGTGTCTTATGTAAGTTTCTTATTATCTTATGTTACTCTAGTGTCGAATATGTACATATTTTGACTAATCCAAATTTAGATTCAACTTAAGAAATTCGCAAATAGCTACAGCTAGAATTAGTGTCTTATGTTTCTTATTATCTAATGTTACTCTAGTGTCGAATATGCACATATTTTGACTAATCTAAATTTAGATTCAACTTAAGAAATTCGCTAATAGCTACTGTTAGAATTAGTGTCTTATGTTTCTTATTATCCTATGTTACTCTAGTGTCGAATATGTACATATTTTGACTAATCTAAATTTAGATTCAACTTAAGAAATTCGCAAATAGCTATTGTTATAATTAATGTCTTATGTTTCTTATTATCCTATGTTACTCTAGTGTCGAATATGTCCATATTTTGACTAAACTAAATTTAGATTCAACTTACAGAAGTAATTGTTTGAATATCTTTTAATTACCGGTTTTTCAGATGTTTAACAGCTTTTCGTTTATCATAACTTTTTATATTATTCTAATGATAAAAGTACGACGCCATTTTAGATAGACTTTTAGAGACTTTCTATTTGCTATGTATGTACAAATTCATCATTGAATGTTTTTATAAATTCATCAAAGGCTTTTTCTTATGTATTTGCTAGTCGTTTGAAATAAACAAATGTGTACAGTTTTAACTCGAAGTGATGACAGGAGGACCTATTTTTTTGTTTTTGTTTTTTTTACAAATTATTAATTTCCAAAATGTTTAGATCCGCCAGGGCCACCAGAGATTGAAGGTTTTCAAGAAGATGACATCGTTCAGATTGGTGACACCCTAACCGTAGCTTGCATATCTCGTGGTGGCAATCCCCCAGCGAAACTAGTTTGGCTCAGGAATGATGTTCAGATAAACAAGATATTTTCAACCACAGGTTACGAAACTACAAATACGCACTCTTTTCTTGTAACTGCGGCAGACAACAAAGCCACCTATCGTTGTGAGGCCACGAACAGCGTAACGTTGCAGCCTTTGGAGTCATCAGTTACCCTAAACGTTCTTTGTAAGTACTTGTTTACAAACTGTACTAAGCCTCTTAGTTTTAATGAGCTTATATATATATAAAAATGTGATATACTCCAAAAACAAAAGACAGTAATTCGACCAATGTCTTTGCCTTTCCGAAACTTTAGAAGTACTTTGCTTCAGTGCAGTGAATCGAGCATGGCCATAGTATTACTATGCTGGAATGTGGATCCGATGAGTCCATAGTTCGAGTCTTTTTTGTCCAAAAGTCAACGAAAAGCACTCCGTACTTTGTTGTCATGGGTGTATAATAGGAGTGACGGTCGAGTCTCAGTATTTGATTAGTAGAGTTGACGATGGATATTTTTGTTAAGCTGCCTTCCTTCTAATTCTTCTACAAATAGCCCTTATGTAGCTTTGCGCGAATATCCGAAACCAGCAAATAAGCTTCAGTGTTGTTTAGGCCTAAAAAAAAAAGTAACGTTAAAAAAAGGAAAATCAATGATAAGATTTTACATTACATAATGCAATATTTATCGATTTACGTTTAAGATAAGTTGTAGGAGACGAAAAGTAGTGTAAACAATACACGGTAACAAGCGCCAGTGATCAATCAGCTTAATTATGTGAAAGCCTAGCCGTTCTTGAAATCACATTTAAGATTAGAATCGTGTCGGTTTATCTCTTGTGTTGTAACAAAATGTTTTACGTCTATTGGAAACTTGCGTGTATAATAGACCTTTAGTTCAAACTAGTGTCCGGCATGGCCAGGTGGATAAAGCGCTCGACTCACAATCTGAGGGTCGCGGGTTCGAATCCGCATACCACCAAACATGCTCGCCATTTCAGCCGTGGGGGCTTTATGTGACGGTCAATCCCACTATTCGTTGGTAAAAGAGTAGCCCAAGAGTTGGCGGTGGGTGGTGATGACTACCTGTCTTCCCTCTAGTCTTACACTGCTAAATTAGGGATGGCTAGCGCAGATAGCCCTCGTGTAGCTTTACGCGAAATTCAAAAACAGACAAACAAACAATTAGTTCAAACTAACATAGTGAAATATGTGATTCAATTCTGAATGAATATATTGGTATTTTAATAGCTATACACACTCTGATCCCACGTTTATAGCCTGTAGTTTGGTTTCCTTCTGTTTTGTCCTCTAATATTGATATATTACATATTGAGAGTGCTTACAGAAACCTACTGCTTAGTTATTCATAAAATAACGTCCTAACACCAAGACTATGAACTTTGAAAATCACTTATCATTAATATTCACTAAAATTACAAAACCTAATAAACTTTCTGAATGTCAACTTATAAAATATGCTCAAAGTTATCATTTAAAATGCTAAATATCAGTGCCTAGCGTAATCGAATAACTATTTTCCTGGTAATAAACGTTAACGTGTTGTAATGATAGCAGAGAGTTCATGATGAAACGTTCCTCAACTTACAGTTTTTCAGTGACTGAATAAGTGCATGTATATCTCAGTATGTCTCAAGAACTTGACGTGATGTTAAATGTTAATTCCCATTCATAAAGTTAAAATTCTTATTATGTACTTTATTCTGTATTTCCCATTGTTTTATTTGTGAAATATTTCCGACAGACTTTTTTTGTTGTTGTTTTTCTAAGAAAACATAATATGTTTCATTAGATGGAAATACAAATTCAGAAAAATATTTGTTACACCTATTAGCAGTGCTGAGACTGAATTAACCTGCATCGTAGATTATGTCCTTTTGTTATGAATTAACCTGTATCGTAGATTATGTCCTTTTGTTATGAATTAACCTGCATCGTAGATTATGTCCTTTTGTTATGAATTAACCTGCATCGTAGATTATGTCCTTTTGAATAACGTGTATCGTAGATTATGCCCTTTTGTTATAAATTAACCTATATCGTAGATTATGTCCTTTTGTTATGAATTAACCTGTATCGTAGATTATGTCCTTTTGTTATGAATTAGCCTGTATCGTAGATTATGTCCTTTTGTTATGAATTAACCTGTATCGTAGATTATGTCCTTTTGTTATGAATTAATCTATATCGTAGATTATGTCCTTTTGTTAAGAATTAACCTGTATCGTAAATTATGTCGAATTGTACAGTCAAATTTAGAATTATTCTTCGGGGCATTAGTAAATCAATTAATTATAATTTACTTTGTAAGTTCGAGCTTATTTCTGCCAGATAATGTAACCGAAATATTTCAATAGTTAAAACTAACATCACTTTGCACCACCACCACCCCTAGTGACCCAGCTAAAAAACGATATCCGTGTTGGCCACAGCACAAATAGTCCATTGTGTATCTTTATACTTAACGACAAACCAAAACAACACTAGTTTTCAAGTGATATAAATTGCGTTGACTTTCTTATCAAACACTAAGCAGGATAAAATAATTCATTCTTCTTCACATCTCTAAAACTGAACAATTTTGTTCTAGAATAAACACTATCTTATCAAACACTAAGCAGGATAAAATAATTCATTCTTCTTCACATCTCTAAAACTGAACAATTTTGTTCTAGAATAAACACTATCTTATCAAACACTAAGCAGGATAAAATAATTCATTCTTCTTCACATCTCTAAAACTGAACAATTTTGTTCTAGAATAAACACTATCTTATCAAACACTAAGCAGAATAAAATAATTGATTCTTCTTCACATCTCTAAAACTGAACAATTTTGTTCTAGAATAAACACTATCTTATCAAACACTAAGCAGGATGCCCCTCAGTAGCACAGCAGTATGTCTGCGGACTTACAACGCTAGAATCCGGGTTTCGATACCCGTGGTGGGCAGAGCACAGATAGCCCAATGTGTAGCTTTGTGCTTAACTTCAAAGAAACAAACTAAGCAGGATAAAATAATTGATTCTTCTTCACATCACTAAAACTGAACAGTTTTGCTCTAGAATATAGGAATATAATGTGTAGAAACGCTGAGACAATACCATTCCTATGTTTGGTTTGGTTTGTTTTGAATTTCGCGCAAAACTACACGAGTGCTATCTGCACTAGCCGTCCCTAATTTAGCAGTGTAAGACTAGAAGGAAGGCAGCTAGTTATCACCACTCACCGCAAACTTTTGGGCTACTCTTTTACCAACGAATAGTGGGATTGACCGTCACATTATAACGCCCTCACGGCTGTAAGAGCGAGCATGTTTGGTGTGACGGGGGATCGAACCTGCGACTCGCAGATTACGAGTCGAGCGCCCTAACCACCTGGCCATGCCGGGCCACATTTCTGTATATATATATATATATATGTACATTTGAAAGCTATTTCCTAAAACGACAATTGATAACATAGCAACATACATTCAATAGACCAGACGTGGTAGCTAGATACATTCACTAGGCCGGACTTGGTAGTTAATACATTCAATAGATCAGTCTGTTGAACTATGAACCCAAGGGTCCATAGTTCGCGAAATCACGCTTCTAACTTTGGGGCCGTGGTTGCTTCGTAACAATGCCGATCATCTCCCCCTTGGCTGTTTGTGCTGTCTTTCTTCTTCTCTACAAGTTCGAATTTGGAAATATCCTGTATAAATAGCCTTTCTATAGATTTCCTCGAAGATTGTATCACATTATATACGAAGTTGTACCAATATAGCTTTATGTAGGTACTGTAGATAATTTCATCTGTTTACTAGTTAAACCTGCGTGGCTCCTCTAACATACTAATGAATCAATGTGAACATAACACAATTAGTGTGATAATCAAATGTATTTGAAATTCTACTGAACTTGTGACACCTTAACTACTAAGTCAGTAAGTTGTCGTTAAGCCTTATCAGTATTTCTGATGTGAAGATTTATGTGTGCACAACCCCGTGGCTCCTATGAAGCCCGATTCAATATTTGATGGAACTAACACTTCTATTTATTAATTCAAAATTAACTTATACGGGAAATCGTTCACAATCCGTCCACGTACACGCTATCTACCAATTCTTTCTTGTGTGCAATCTCTCACTAATTTATCTCTTATTCATCAAATCTCACTTTTTAAATTCTATTGATCTTTGAATCTATAGGCCAGCCAATCTCCAACTCTTTTATCCTTCCGTGTATTTAATTACCTCTCTTTTTTCAATTAACCTCACTGGTGCTGCTTTACTTGGTAATCAAAGCTGGCGATAGATGCCTCGTATGAGGTTCCCTTTCTGCTACCCGAAGCGAGTTTTGTGTTTTTGTTTGACAGATACTTATTTCGTTTGTTACTTTCGTTATAATCACAGACGTATTTCTACACTATAGTTTAACGTAACCTCGAAAGTTTTAACCATGCATTGATTTTCATTTAAAAAAGTGTGATTGAACTTAACTTTATGAACTGATGTTTTAATTGTACCGCATTTAATATTTCTGTAAATAATAAAAGAAAAAGTTGAACTAAGTTTATGTTTTGTTTTCAACAATTTTAGATTTAATTGATTGAACAGAGATAAAGCACGTAATTTGAAGACGATTCTGGAGTCTCGCCACTTCGTTACCGTTCATGTCGCCACGTCCAATCTTGCACAAACTGATGACCGTACATTTTAACAATAGCTCTGTAGTGTAGTTTATATTGCAAAATGATCCATCGTAAAATTATCATGTCAAAATCACACCACTCCTCCTTGCAGTCTTTTTACATTCTTTTTAGAGTACGAAAATAGCGGATTTCTAGCATTCATTTCAACAGTCTAATTACATAGAAATCCATAGGCACTGCGTCCGACAACTTGACCAGTATATCTTTGTTTAGAATAGCGTGGATATTGTTTCATTCTCCAGCTGCTTAAGGTACGCATCGGTTGAATGGATAATGTTGTGCTATGGACCTTGTGTTTATAGATTCTTACCAGTTACAAGACGATACACTTTTTTTTTTACCACGGCTGCGGCAAGACTTGTTGTAGTCTCTTTCCGGATGATCCTGGTGCTTCAAGATGATTCATATACATTTTTATTCCAGTACCATTAAGTACAAACGATGCTATCGTTTGGGAGATTCGAAATCGCCGATTCTAGCACATCTTTATGATGTGAATGTATGAATATTATGCGTCGGAAATTATTGCTATATACCCTTCCCAAAAGCAATTATTTTCGATAGCATCATACAACTTATAAAAATCCAAACAATGTAAAAATGTCATTTCAATACGACTTTAAACTGGCCTTGGTTGTCAGGTGACTTGCTGACTTGCATATACAAAATCGTATTAATATAAAGTACTCAACCCTCTGTAATTAATTCGTAATTTCAGGTTACTTTTGTAGTCTTGTTATGATTTTCACAATATTTTATATATATATAATTTTAAACATATCAGCAAAAATCCTTATCCATACTAAAAGCCAAAAGTTTTTGCCTTCAGATAGTATTAAAAGAGCTGTATATCAAAGTATCAAGTCATTCTGGACAATATTCTTTATTATCCACCTGGTTTTAATTAATTGCTATAACTGTAATATTCATTTTACTATAAAACTATTTGATCACCTGTTGTGGAATAAAGTACAGTGTGGTCCAAAAGTAATAAAATTCTAATGTGTTTTAAGAATAATGTTGTTTTTTTAACCACTGCACGAATGTAACTGGGAGAAATTATCGCCATTAAATAACTACCTTTGAACTGACCTTTTCCATTATATTTATGATGGTGTGTTTTTGGCAAAGAAATTGATTTCAGGAAATACATTCTAACAATACATCTTCTGTAGCCTTCTTCGGTGGCAATGTGAGTTATATCATCATTCATAAAAAGTATCAGACGGAGAAAACAAATGTGCTATGTCTAGTTGGGAGGATGCATAGTCTCAAACCTTTTCTTTCAGAACATACGAGTGTAAATGTAGGAATAGAAACTAAAACAACGACAACACCTGCTATACTTTTTATGTTATCCACTAATTAGTAAAATGCAAACGTTAGTATATGTAGTGATGATATTTTAGCCAGCTGGAAATCTCCAAAACAATATAATAACAGATTATTTTCAACGCATTTCTCGTTTATTTTATTTTAGTTCCTCCATCTCAAGTTTCAATCAAAGGACCTCATGAAGGAAAAATCGGGGATAACATCACCTTGAGGTGCATAGCAGGACCTAGTAATCCAGAATCAGAGCTTTCCTGGATTGTAGACGGTCTACCGGTATTCTCAATAGCTGAAGCAACAGTGACGTCAATGGGAAGTTGGTTTACGACATCCAATGTGAGCTTAACCTTGAGCAGGCAGGTAAAGCAAATATTTTTATCTAAATTCATATTGTAAATGATACCTTATTTAGATATCATCAGTCCATAATTTTTAATCTTGAGAGTATTTCTTGATTTTTATTTAAACGTTTGTGTTATAGAGTCGTATGGCTAATGTACTCAATAGATATAATACACAAATGCATGCTAAAAAATCAACAATGACAGCGAGTTTTACTTTAAAAGATGATTGCCAATCATACCCAACAAGCCCTTTAAAAACCTTAAGTACAATGTGAAACAGGCAAGTTTTCTGAGGATACTGGAGAGGGAGTTTTTACAAAGCGAACAGAGTGTAGCCAACTAAACGTGCATGTAAATTTTTGGGATTATATCATTTTACAAAATCATCCACTAGAACAAATCATCAAGCGATTATGAGAAAGCATTCAATAAACTAAATAAATATCTAACCAATATTCCTGTATTAATGTATCCAAATGTTGGAGATTTACTGATATAAATGCTACTTACTTTGCAGTGGGAATAGTGTTATCATAAGTATAAAATGGGAAGGAATGTATAATCACCTACTATAAGAAGGCAATGAATGGTACTAAGTTTCGTTAAAGTCTTGAATAATTTCTGTAGCTACCTTTTTGGCAAACAGTCTACTCTCTGAACAGGGTCGTGCAGAATTTAAGTGGCTGGTAAATTTCCATAATCTAGAAGACCAGATAACAAGGTGGCTCCAGAAATTGCAAGAGTACAACTTTAATATCATGCATTACCCCAGATGGGACCACGGAAATCTTGATATATTATCCCAAAGACCTCATATTATTGTCAAATGTAAATACCGTGAAAAGGGAGGAGTAAAAAAAAAGAATAATATATACATAATCAATCTTTGCGACAGAGCAAAATTCAAGATCTGAAATCCACAGATGATGAATAGCCGTTGTGGATGATCACTCAAATGAAAAATGCTCAGTCAAAAGTTGTAAATCTTAAACAGATTATTCACTGGATTAGGAATAGTGCACAATGACCCTTGCGGCAGCAGTGGCTTTATACACCTCAAATACAAAGATATGAAAGAGGCAGTAAGATTCAATATGCCTATGAGAAGGGGTTTGTGATTTATTGAAAATATGTAACTACCAGTGGAAAGAAGTATTTTCAGAATTTAAATGATACGTCCACATTCCGTACAATCAGAAGCATTCTGTTAATACTGTAATATTCCAACAGCTGGACACTTAGATGATAAGAAGACACTTAAGAGGAGAAATGGGTGTGTGATTTATTGAAAATATGTAACTACCAGTGGAAAGAAGTATTTTCAGAATTTCAATGATACGTCCACATTCCTTACAATCAGAAGCATTCTGTTAATACTGTAATATTCCAACAGCTTACATTTATAATGGACTGAATGTTTGAAATCTGTAAAAAAAAAATATCTAAATTATAAAAAAAACTGTTCTAAGAATGAAAATGTCCGCAAAGGAAACAGGGGGTTGGTGTTGTTGTTTTTGGTCTTCTACCACAGTCCAACAGCAGGAATGAATACATTTTGATGATAATGAACTATTTAAACAAATGGTGAGAAGTATGTGCTATCCCTAACTAGAAATCAGAAACTTCAACAAAGAAACTTTTCAACGAATTTATTTCAAGATTTGGGATATCTATAAAACATCGAGGAAAGAACTTTAAATCAGCTTTTTTTTTTGCAAAAATTTGTAACAATTTTGAAATTTGGAAGTTATTTGTGAAGTTGAACATTAGAGAATTATCATTCAATAATACACGAATCCACAGACAACTGAAAAGTGTCGTTGATCCTTCTATACTCACTTCCTGACAAAACATAACTCAGCAGCCTAACAGTTAAACTAAGAAACACCATTGATTCCATAGGTGATAAGATAAGATGAAAAGCCAGTACGATGTAAATGCAGATAAGACTGAAGTTTGTCAAGGTGTCATGGTTTGGCTGACAAAACACACTGAAAGAGAGGACTGTTTCCAAAGTTAAGTAGATGCTGGAAAGAACTTTAAGCTTTAATAAAAATATATTCAATGATGTGGCTTATATAACCCAAAAGGACTGGTATCTCCAGCCAAAATCACCGTGATCATCTGTTCGAGACAACAGTCAGCTGGTCAACTTTAAAGAAGATTTTCTTAAAGATAAATTAACCTGCTGAAGAGCTTGAGACACTTTCAGGGTATCTTTGTTTGTTTGTAATCAAGCACAAAGCTACACAATGGGCTATCTGTACTCTGCCCACCACGGGT